ATGCCCACATTTTCTGCTTTATTATATTTTTTGCTTCAGAACAGATGCTTATGTCATGTTTTCTTTATGAAATTAAGCTACATTTGATTTAGCACTTAAAATGTTTGTGGCGGTTCCTATTTAATTCAGATTTGGAAAAAACTCATTTATAGTATTTTAAAGATCTGCTCATGCTGAATTGAAAACTCTATTTTGATGGGGGGAGAGAAAGTAATTTGCCCTTTTTCCCCTCATATTCTGACTCGGGATCACTAACCTTTGTGTGCCAAGGAAAATCCCCAGTGGGACTGTCAGTGGCCCTTGGGATTTTTCTGTGTTGTGCATGTCAGAGCAGGGAGCACCGTCTGTCATCTGTCCTTTGGGCAGCACAGGACGAGCCAGGGGGTCTGGTTGTTGTTACGTGACGAACGTGGACTGAAAAATAAAATGAGTAATAAGAGAGGAGTCACTGTTAGATCTGATTTAAAATGGGGTGAGCACAATTTATTAATAATGTTCCATTAAAAGTTTATCCCGGGCTTTGCCATTTCGTACCCTGTATGTACTTTGGTTCCAAAGTCAGCTGAATGTTGTGTTATAGTTGGGGAGACAGGGTTTTACTGCACAGCATTTGAACTAAGTATTGCAATGGAAGCTATGAAGATACAGTTACTTTCAACTCACCTGAATAAAAAAAAAAATAAATATGATTATAGATGAGATTTTCAGAGGAGGAGGGAAGTTTGGGGTCAGTTGCTTGTTCAGGGAAATTATTTTGCTTTTCTAAGAAATGCATGCAACAGCTTCTCCCATTTCACTCTACTCGTATTTTACATTTGTAATCTATGTAAATATTAAACTGATTTTGCAACTAATCATTCATTACCCAACACAGCCAAAAATGTTTTCTGTTTTTAATAAGTACTGAGTTGAAGCTGGTCAAGTATGCTGGCTACAGTACGTAATAACACCAGCAATCTCCTCCCACCCCATTAAGGATATTATTTAAAAAAACAGCAATCCAAAACAAAACAACCCCCTCATGCTGTTGGTAATACTGCTCAGAGCTGTGCATTTTCCAGGGCATGTGTATGGTTGCAGTTGGACAGAAGTTCTGTGCTTGTTAAAAACAAATTTGAACCATTATCCTCAAATTAATATTGCCTTCCTGATGGCTAAGAAAATGTTGTTGATCAGGGGAATGATATTTTATAAAAGATGCATAATTAAGATATTGAAACACAAAGTACTAATTTAAGAATAGTTTTCACTTTGTGGTGTCTCGGCACTAGGATTTGCTAACACGGAATACCTGTGGTTCCTGTTCCTTGTGCCTTGTTTACAGTCTTTGCTCAGCTCACAGAGGAGGAATAGAAATGCTTCTGGTGGACTCAGTGCTTCTATTTCACATCTTTGCAAAAATAAATAGGAACCGATTCTTAAAAAATTTTTAAATGGGTTTCCCATTTCAATCTTAACAACTTTGAAATGAAAAGAAAATATTGTGAATTTCTGTGAAGAGTTAGTTTCCTAGAAAGTTGGAGGAAATCTGCATTTTCAAAAAAAACCAACCCCAAACAAACAGAAAAGTTCTCTGGCTTTAATCCTATAAAATATTTTGCATTCATTATTTTTCCCAAATGTTTAAGGTTGTTACAGATTAAGTAAGACTATGCTACTGATTATTTTTTTCATGGCAGCAAGTCCCTTTTAGTTAAAAGAAAATGGAAAAATGCCTTTTTGTTATCTCTTCTAGAGACAAGAATATAAAACTTACTCTCTTCAAGATCTGTATTCAAACTCTTGGTTGGTCTGACAGCTAAGCCCCAGTTTTTGCAGGTTTCTGTTCATGCTGTGAATTTTTTTTTTCCATTTTCTTCATCTGTCCTTTTTCTTGCGAGCTTTATCACAGCAGCCTTGGTGTTACAAGCGATTGTTCCAGTGGGTGTTGTTGGACACTCTGAGGTTGTTGCACAGTTTTTTCTCTGATTTTTGATCCATGACTTGCAGAAGGTGCCAGCGGGATCCTGCTCCCTGCGGAGCAGGGAGGGCACAGCACGGGGACCCGCTGCTCCAGAGGGGATGACTGATTTCCCATCCCCTCCATGGAATTACTGCAACCCCCACCACAGCCACCACGTCCAGGTTAGCCATGCTTATTGTTGAGGGAATCAGCTGAACCCCAGCAACAATGACTGTGGGACAGGAAAGGGAGCACTTGGATCTGCAAAGTCTTGGGAAGCCCAGGGCTTGGAGCTGCACGTTCCTGGTGGGATCCTGCCAAGCTGTGCTTGGCCAAGCCCAGGGACTTGACCATTTTCTGCTCTTAATATGGACATCTCTTGGGTTTTATAGTTCTTCTCCATCATAATTTTCTTTTCTTCTTGGCTTCTCTTACTGCTCCTGAGGATCTGGTCTCTTATTTTAAAAATTGTTTTGCTCCCTACTCTCGAATTATTCTAAGCTGTTTTTTCATCTTTAATCCCACCCTTTCCCTTCATTTTGTCTCCTAAGTGTTCTCAGATTTGAGCACTGCTTTAACCAACATCTTTGGGGGACAGGAGAAAGGAGCTGATTAAACAAGCAGCTCCCTTTCATCTCACCTTGTGAGCTGTGGTGCTGTTCCTGTGAGTGTGGAGACGTCCTGGGCGCTCTCCTGATCCTCCTTCCCCAGCCTGCCTTGCAGGGCTCTGCTCGGGCAGCACCCACACACAGAGCTGACTTTTCAGCTTCGAGGAGACCTTTCACTGGAACAATGTATTTCCAGCCGCTTTCAAATCCTTCTGTCAAGGCTCAAATGCAGCCCTGAGTCGCACCACCCACAGGGTTGAAAAAAAATCTCAAATAACTCCTCTTATCTGTTTCCTTGGTTGTCTCAACTTCTCATCTTCTGGTCTGCCCTGCTGCTGCTTTTTTCCCTTTGTTCATTCCTGCTCTGCTAAGAATGTTCCTCAGCTCATTTCTCTGCCCCTGCTGACCCTTTTTAAGTCCTTGCACAGCCTGCCTTCCCCTTCCCTGTCTTATCTGGGATTCTGGTCTCTGTTTAACACCTGTGTAGCAAATCTAGATCAGGTAAATGTTCAATGTGCTTCCTCAGCTCTGCTGTAGCAGTGGCTGTACCCAGGAATAACAGGATGCTTTCTTCCTTTCCAGCCATTGCGTGTAGAGGAAGGAATCCAGATAAATCCAAGTGGTTCTGTTCACATTCTTTCAGATTTGTCATGTGCTTGTCAATTATGGAAGAAATTCTTCCCTGTGAGGGTGGTAAGGCACAGGGTGCCCAGAGAAGCTGTGGTGGATCCCTGGAAGTGTCCAAGGCCAGGTTGGACAGGGCCTGGAGCAGCCTGGGACAGTGGGAGGTGTCCATGCCATGGCAAAGGGTGGAATGAGATGATTTTAAGGTTCCTTCAAACCCCAGCAATTCTATTTTCTCTGATTATTTAAGTCTTTCTCCGATTTAGGTATTTTCCTGGTATTGTGAGAACATAGGTGATAGCTCGAACTAAGAGTGTTTTCCCTTTCCTTTCTCTAAAATACTTTCTTCTACTTCAATTAATTTAATTTTTTTTAAAAAGCAATTTGAGTTGGTTTAACATGTTATTTCTTCATCTTGCAAAATCTTCATAAGGCAACCAAGTAATCACCTTAAAAAGCTACAGGTAAAATGTGTGAACAAGACTTTGTCAGAGAGAGGGGGAGCTTTTTCTAATCTTGGGAGTAATTTTGGCAGTATCAGAACACCTCGTAATTAGAGGAGCTAATCACACCAACATATCTGTGATTTAAATTAATTCATAGTATGCATTCGTTGTTAACAACTTGTTTGGGAGATTTGTTGCATCCATCTTCCCCACAAAAATATTCATTTTATTCACAAATCACAAAGAGTAGAAGCCATGTTTCAGCAGATTTAAAGCAAGTAAAATAATTGACATCCAAAACTGGTTACTTTGATATGTGCAAGCACTTAAGAGGAGCTCTTCTGCAGATTGTCTCCCATACAGATCTCTTGGATCAGACTGAAATACTTGTTACCAATTCCTATGAAAAGAAACAAAGATAAATAATCTTGTACAGAGCAATTGGGATGGAAAGGAGAAGTAAAACCATGACAAAGCTTGAGTTCTTAACATGAGACGTGTTGTGCTTTCCAGTTTATCGTCATACCCTGGTGAGCAAGCAGGTGCTCAAGAGCTTTTGGTTAATTTTTGGGTTGGTGTTTGTGTTTGAGGATGTGACAGTGCTGAAAAAGGCACAGCATCACTTTTCATTGGCCTGGGGACACAGGGCATTGTGTGTGCAAATGCAAAATGATGTGTAAACCACATGTAAAGCCTGTGAGAGGTAAGTTTCCTGGCAAAACTCAGTTACTTCAAGATGCCTAAGTTCTCTGCTAAAATACACATTGGTGGTGTTTATAACTGGCACCTAACAGTAAAGGTTGCTGTCTGTATATGTTCATTTGTTTCCAGTAAGGGTTGCAAACCTAAATGCAGTATGAATTCAGTGTGTTGTGATGTGGGTGTGTATGTAATATCTCAGGGCAGGCTGACATTTTACATTTTTTTATTGTTTGTTCTTTCACTGTGTTTCTCTGAAGAATGAAAATTGAGTCAAAACAAATGGTAAAAGTCTGCTAGGTACTCTTCTGTGTTTTTTCCAAATTGGCTTCTTAGACTTCTCACACAGATTAGTATATTTGCTCTTCTTATTTATTGCCTGCTTATTATTTTTACTGTTACACTGGAGGCTACAAAACACTTTCTCTGTTCTAAAATGAAATAGTTCAGTTATTTTAATTGAGAGTTTTGCCAGATTAAAAAAAAACCAAAACAAAACAAAAACAACCAAACAAGTTAATACGAGCATTGTGCTCCACTGTAGTGAGGAAAATTGCTGTATTATGTTAGAGAATGTACTCTAAATTTTAGCAGAATCTAGTGTTGTAAAACAGTGCTTTTAATAGAGGGCTTTTGCAGTGCTTGAACAGTGGACTCATTTTTAACCTTGGATCCTTTCAGATCTCAGCCACAGTGGATTGGGAGACCATTATGAGAATTCCCACTGGGGACAGCAGCCCGCTTTCAGGAGTGAAGGCAACTGCAGCTGGGATAAAGTGATAATAGACAGGACTGACAAGGAAGCGTGGCCTTCCATTACCGGAGCTGAGACTGAGTCTGCCTCAGAATGTACTACAGACACTGACTCTGCCTCCAACTGTGGCTCAGAGAACAGTAGCATGGCTACAGGGAGTGCCCAAGGCAACTTCACTGGACATACAAAGAAAACTAATGGCAATAATGGCGCCAACGGAGCACTCGTCCAAAGCACTTCTAACCAGAGTGCCCTTGGAGCTGGTGGAGCAAACGGCAACGGCGGCTCGGCCAGGGTGTGGGGGGTGGCTGCGGGCTCCAGCTCTGGCCTAGCTCACTGCTCTGCCAGTGGTGGGGATGGAAAGATGGACAACATGATGGGAGACGGTAGAAGTCAGAACTGCTGGGGTGCTTCCAACTCGAATGCTGGCATTAATCTTAACCTTAACCCTAATGCCAATCCAGCTGCCTGGCCTGTACTTGGACATGAAGGAACTGTGGGAGCAGGCAACCCTTCCAGTATTTGCAGTCCAGTCAGTGCCATAGGTCAGAACATGGGCAACCAGAATGGGAACCCAACAGGCACCTTAGGTGCTTGGGGAAACTTGCTGCCGCAAGAGAGCACAGAACCACAAACGTCCACTTCTCAGAATGTGTCTTTCAGCGTACAACCTCAGAACCTTAACACTGATGGACCAAATAACACTAACCCCATGAACTCTTCACCAAACCCTATCAATGCAATGCAGACAAACGGACTGCCGAACTGGGGGATGGCCGTGGGCATGGGGGCCATCATCCCGCCCCACCTGCAAGGCCTTCCTGGTGCTAACGGAACAGCGGTTTCTCAAGTCAGCGGGGGCAGTGGTGAAGGAATGGGCAGTTCAGTATGGGGGATGTCCCCAGGTAATCCTGCCGCAGGAAACAGCAATTCTGGGTTCAGTCAGGGGAATGGAGACACTGTGAACTCAGCATTAAGTGCTAAACAAAACGGATCCAGCAGTGCTGTGCAAAAGGAAGGGAACGGAGCGAACGCCTGGGACTCGGGGCCTCCCTCTGGCCCCGGGGTCCTGGCGTGGGGCAGGGGTGGCGGCGGGGTTGGCAGTGTGCATTCGGGAGCCTGGGGCCACCCCAACCGCAGCGCCAGCAACGGTGTCAACGGGGAGTGGGGCAAGCCCCCGAACCAGCATTCCAATAGCGACATCAATGGGAAAGGATCAACAGGGTGGGATAGCTCGAGTGTTACCAGTCCGAATCCTGCCATGCAGCAGGGCAATGAACAAATGAACTCTTGGGCCAAAGCTGCAGCATCTGGCACCACGGCTAGTGAAGGAAGCAACGACAGCGGTGGGAGTCAAAATGAAGGCAGTACTGGGAGGGACGGGGCTGGAGAGGGCAGGAGGAGAGACAAAGGGATGATAGACCAAGGGCAAGTTCAGTTGCCAAGAAATGACCTTGACCCCAGGGTCCTGTCCAATACGGGGTGGGGACAGACCCCTGTGAAGCAAAACACTGCCTGGGAATTTGAAGAGTCCCCAAGGTCTGAACGGAAGAATGACAATGGAACTGAGGCCTGGGGTTGTGCAGCTACTCAATCTTCAAACTCAGGGGGGAAGAACGATGGGTCCATCATGAACAGTACAAATACCTCTTCAGTATCTGGGTGGGTCAACTCTCCACCGGCAGCTGTTCCAACAAATACAGGTTGGGGGGACAATAACAACAAAGCACCAAATGGCCCAGGGGGGTGGGGAGAGTCAGCAAGCTCTACTACTGTTAATAATGCTGCTGCTGCCAAAAGCGGCCACGCCTGGAGTGGGACCGCAAATCAGGAGGACAAATCACCTACCTGGGGTGAACCTCAGAAACCCAAATCTCAAAACTGGGGAGATGGACAGAAATCAAATCCAAGCTGGACTTCAGGAGGTGGAGACTGGACAGATTCATCATCTGTTCCTGGACACTTGGGTGATGGGAAGAAGAATGGATCTGGATGGGATTCTGATAATAGATCGGGGTCTGGCTGGAATGATTCCACAAAGTCTGGGACCAGTGGGTGGGGGAATGGCACAAACAGCAAGGCTAATACAGGTACAAGTTGGGGGGAATCTTTAAAGCCAGGCCCCCAACAAAATTGGGCTAATAAACCCCAGGACAACAATGTGAGTAACTGGGGAGGAGCTGCTTCTGTAAAACAGACGGGGTCAGGGTGGGTTGGTGGGCCAGTGCCAGCCAAACAAAAAGAGAACTGTGAGGCAACTGGCTGGGAAGAGCCATCTCCACCGTCCATTCGCCGCAAGATGGAAATCGATGATGGTACCTCAGCTTGGGGCGACCCAAATTACAACAACAACAAGACTGTAAACATGTGGGATAGAAATAATCCTATAATTCAGAGCAGTACCACAACCAACACCACCACCACTAGCACCATTATCAACAGCAACATGGTTGAACCTCAGCCATCGCACCAGTCAAGTGCCCAGCCAAACCGGTCCCCGCTGCTTGGCCCAGGTATGACAACAGTTTTGTGAAATACTTCATAAAACAGGTTTAAAAGATACGTTATACCAGTACCAGTTGCTGAATGCTGTCTGTCCTGTCGGTGTGTTGGGTAGAAATCCTGTGGTTATGTCCAGGAGAGGTTTATTCCTTTACTCTGAAGCTGTCTTGAGGATGTCTTGAGGATCCACATTTCCATAATCAAAATGAATGTAAGAAAGTCTTGAAACAATCTTGGTCAATAGCATGGTAGGTTCTTAGATTGTGGATCCATATTCATTTTAACATCTCTTCCACAGTTATTTAACACCTTTTAATTCAGCCATTTGAGAGGCTGGGGGCTTTTGGCAAACCTTTCTTCTGTTATTTGTCCGCTGTCCCCAGTGCGCAGGCTCGGTGTGTTTAGACAGCTTGCATCTGTTTCTTTTCTGCAAAACATCTCTTGGCAACAGATGTTTGTTAACAATTGAATGAATTTAGGCTGCTGCTGTTTCTCTGTCCAGTTTGTTGCCTTTTATAAAGAAATGGTTCTCTTCTCAGGGGTCGGGCACAGGCAGCATCCTGGATTTTGTGTGGTTCTCAAAAAGCAGGCTGATTCAAGGTGTTAATATTCAGGGTGGATGAAGTTAGGTTATTCTAACTTCAGCTGTGTTTCAAAGACAAGGTTTTAGGTATTCAGGAATTTTTCTAATCAAAGGTAAGGTGCTGTTGTGTAGACAGGCAGCAAGGAATAAAAATGCATGAAAAATGGAAAAAATGCTTAAAAGAGAGATATTTAAATAAGAGCTACACTAGTAACCTATCTCTATATAATGACCACAGACCTCCCCAAAATAAATCTAATCACGCAGTACTCTTTCAAATTCTTCATCTGAGTTTTGTTTCCAAGTTTTTGTTTCATCGTGGTCATGACTAAATACTGACTTTTTAACCAGATTTTACTCCAAGTGGGATTTTTTTCTCCCATTCCCATCCTTTCTCTCTTTGATGTTTCAGAACTATTCAAATTTGCTTTAATGTCTGCATAAAAGCAGTCTTACGTTCCCCACTCTGGTCAAATATGGTAACAGTAGAGGGTACCTATTTTAATAAATAATATTCTCCAGAAGGAGAAATCTTTAAATGGCTTTGTACGTGGTCAGCCCAACATATGTGACTAGCTTATTTAATCCATATTTAAAACTTCATTCATGAAACAAGAATTCAGATTTCTGAATTGCAATGGAAGTATCATGAAAGTGGATTTTTGGTTGGGTTTGGGTGAGGTTTTGTTTTTCATTAAGGTGATTTTTTGGGAATTACATTGGTGCTTGTGAAACTGTTCATACACAGCAATACATTGTTAATGTTATTCAAATAATTAACACCTTATATAGGAAAACTTAATGGTCCTGAGCCCTTCAGATTTTGAAAACAGAATTTAAAAGCTGGTGTTAATCTGCAGTGATTCCTTTGGAGCATGGATAGCAGCAAAGGAAGGGTTCCTTTGAACCAGTATATTTATACATTCAGAAAGCTGCCTATGAACACATAACCAACCTGCTCAAGCTGCCCCCTGACCAGGTTAAAGTGAGTGTTGGGCTTCTTGAAAAATGTGAGCTAGAAAGATTCTAAGATCTTTTCAGATAAGCAAATCTTTGATATTCTCTCTTTTTTTTTTTTTTTAATTTTCCAAGATAAGCAAAGCCAGCTCTCAGAATATTTTTAAGACAGTATTGCAAGAAAGTACACAATGAGTAATAGTGAAGACAATTTAAAATATAGTTCTGACATTAAAATTTAAGTTGTGGCAGGCATGAATTGAGTCTTATGTTTTGTATTTTTGCTCCATACACTTAGCACAGTACAAGTATAAAGGTCTAACATGGAAATATTTTGAAGGATTTTTGTCTGAATGGAAACGAGGAGCATTCCCTTGCGTCTCGAGCTCTGCTGTGTTTATTTGTGGCTGTGCCAGAGAGGGACCATTGCTGTGCCTCTCTCACACACAGAACAATTCCAAGGGATGCCAGTGACTTCCCTTCAGTCAGCAGTGCAGAGGTTTTCCCAGTGCAGGCAGCACATGGCACAGCAACATCCTCGTGCTCTGTGTGGAAATGTACACAAACCTGAGACATCTACAAATATCTCCCATCTGGGACAGCCAAAACATGGGAAGCAAGCAGTGAGTGTCTTGCCTCCCACGCAGGCAGGGCCCTGCACTTTGGAGTTGGGCTGTTAAACTCTTTTTTCCTACTCCAGTTCCCTGTCCACTCATTTCCAGCCTCTGCAGAGAATCCTGTAACCAGGAGACTTCTGCAATCCACAACCAGAGTTCATCCAGCAGCAGTTCTTTTCCATGCAAAGCATCGTTGTGTTATTAGAGCCTGTGCCACAGGGCACAGTTAAGTGCTCGTCTAAAATCCTGCCACTCTGTAGTTACCATGGGCATTTTGTCACCTGTGTGGGTAATGACGTGCTCTGCCAGTCACTTTCAGGGACTAGAATGAATCAGGAATTATGGATTCCATTCCTCTGTAAGTAGGGAGGAGTGGTGCAGATGGAAGTTGTCACAGTCGCACGTCCTTCAAGCAAAGAAGTGGATTTTAATTTTGCTGCACAGCCCTAGTTAGGGGTTCACAAAGGATTAACAGTTCCTTTTGGGATTGAAGTGTATGCTTTATTAGTTTGGAAATAGAGGCCAAGTTGCAGTCTTGTTATTCAAGTTGTCACCCATCCCCAGAAGTTCTCCAGATCCTTTGAAGGCAGAACTTAAAAGCCATTGATGGGAAACAGATGTTGGTAAACACTTGATGAAAATGAAGAATGCTCTAAGGAGTTTCATTTTCCATTGGAAAAGAAGGGAAAAAAACAAGGGGAGAAGGGGATAGATAATGTGGTAGATACAGTCCTAGCTGGTTATAGGAGCTTGTTCTCAAGGCACTGGTGAATTACTTAGAGGAGCACAAAGCTGATGGGTTTGAATTAGATATTGGGGCTTAATCTAAATTACTTGTGCATAATTCTTCCTAGCATGTCTAACCCAAGCAGCTTTAATATGAGAGGAATAAGAAGTGAGAAAAGGTTTAGCAAACAGAAATTATTTAAAGAGATTTTTGGTTCCCAAACAGCATCAGATCCTCCCTCCAAGTGCTGAGGAGTGGTTTGATGCTTTCCTGTTCTTGTTACATCAGGAGAGCCTGGCAGGATTCCAGCATCTCCAGCTGAGAAAAGAAACAACAGAAGATAACACAGGTTTCCCTGTGGGGATTGTAGGTCACAAATTAAAGTCTTTGTGGTTACTAGAGAGCGAGGAGCTTAAGTTTGAAAAACCTGAACTGGGTCTAAGTTCTGAATGCTCCAAACATCTCTGTTCCTTTTATAATCCTGTGCCACTAAGTGGCAGCTCACATGGCAGTGTTTTTCTTACTTTGAACTTCCATCAGAATGGATTTGAAAGCAATTCAGCTTTAGGGTGCTCATGTGAAAACCTAAAACCCTCTGGTGGGTGCTCAGCCCATGAATAGCCAGCTTTTGGGGGCAGCCAAGTGATGCCCTCAATTTTCACACAAGGGTGATGCCACTGCTGAAACCCAAATTAGAGCTTTCTGAATGCTCAGTGATGAACTGCAATCTCTTGCAGAAAAAGAGGATTTGAAAGATTAAGGCTTTTAGGTGGCTGTTAAATGTATATATAAAACCCAGAATAACTAGTGTGTAATTAGTAAACAAGCTCTTTCTGCCTAATATATTTTTTTAATCTGTATAAGGTTTTAATATTTTTGTTTGGCTGTATTGTGCTCATGTGTTCTGGTATTTATCACGGACCAACAACTTGAAGGAAAACAATTCCTGCCATCCAAATAGCTATAGGGTTATTTTGAGGGAAAACAACTGCATCCTGCCACAGCTTAGTTAACATTTCACTTTCCCTTGAGGATTTCCTGTTGGCTCTGGCCCAATGTTAATTATGTTTTTATTTCTATAAAACAAAGCTCTGCCAATGTGTCCATGTTTATTACTCACTGTGATCTTTTCATTTCTTGCAATTCTAACAATGTTTTAAAGCTTCAGTACTAAAACCTCACTTTCTTGCCAAAGAAGCCTTTAAATGGAGCACGTTCTGTTGTGAAACAACATTTGTGCAGATCTGGGTGTGTTTTAAGGAGATTTTTACCAGGAGAGCCTCAATCTGTGTCATTTTCATCAGAAAACATGAAGTTTTCTCCAAGCAGAACTTTTGAAAATTCTTGGCAGGCTCAGGTTTTGAGACTACTCAAAGGTCTTGGTTTGCCTTCCCAACAGCCATGGGGAGTTTTGCATCATTCATTCAAAAATGTAACTTTATTCACCTTTACACTTTCTAAAACAAAGAGTCATAGGAATGCTACAGAGACAGTAGTATTGGCACAGCAGTATTTACACAGAGGGGAAACAGGTTTGCAATTAAGAGTGCTTCAGAATTTACAGACAGGGTAGTTTTTGCAGTGCAAAGTTTATTTTTCCAGCAGCCTTCAGGTTTTACTAATTTCCTGCACTTAATTTTATCTGTTAAGATAGTTTGGAAAACTTTCTGTTGACTTATTTTGTTTGTTTTTATTTACTTGTACTATTTTTTATTAGTGAAGGCTGGTTCCTCCATTGTTTGTAATCACATATTATTTCCTGCTCAGTGCATTTAAAAGCACTTAAAAATAATTTGGACATGGCACATCTGTGGTCTTTAGTTGAAGTTGTTGGATTTCTAAGAGCAATAGAGGAACCAGATTTTTTTTTAGGTTTTTATTCTATAACATAGCACACTTTGGATTTTTAATACGTGAATTGTGTTTTAAGGATGATTTCATAAATTGAATTAGCTAGAGTTTCCAGTAGAGGTTGCATGAAGTCAGGGACATGTTGATACTCTTCACTGTCCTTGTTTGCAGTCTGGTTAGTGCTGTGGAGATGTTTTGTTTTCTGTTTCATTTGCCTGCAGTTAATCTTTTTCAGCTGCCAATATGATTTAATACACGCAGTTGTCTGCCAGTCGCCTCCTGAGCAGTGAGGCAGAAACTCAAATAAAGCCTCCCTTAAATAACGTTGGCTTGAACATGCAAGAACCTTGAAATGAGTATTTCAGGTGCACCACCAAGGAAGCTGTCATGTTAAGTACAGGTTCATTTAGGTACGTCTGTGGATCTGCCAGTTTATCTTCTTTACACACCTTAAAATAACCAGAAATGTAAGGTACGTTGATAGAGCCTAAACCATAGTATTTTTGTTTTAAATGGCAATAACTTGAATGAAACGGTGACATTTTGGGCTGTTTCAGGAGCTTGCTTTAAATTCAGTGCCTCTTGCTGGTAGAGAAGGGGTTTTATGAAGCTGCAACACACCAGTGGAGAGTTTGACACTCACTGTGCCACCTGCACGGCTGTAAGGAATGGAGGCTAAAATAAATATATAATGCAGGAACATGGGAGCAACGTACAGCTCTGGGCCCATCTATTTGATTGTTTTCTCTGCCAGACAATGTTTGAGTTGTTATTGGCAGTGGATGTTGCTGCAATTTCAGGAGACAGGAATTCTGTGGAATTCAGTGAGTTCTGCAAGGGCTTGTTGCTCATGAACCACTATTGTTTGGTTATTCCAGTGCATTTCAAGGTGCTGTTAGACACTCCCTTGCCATTGCCTATCTATTCTGGGTGTCAGTTTGTGGAGAAAATGTTTTTCCTGCTTTTTGAAGCATTTCCACAGTATTTTTACAGATATCATTGTGGAGCAAAAAAAGGAAATAATGCTGTGGCAAAGCAGCATCTGGTCATTCACTTTGAAAATACTCAATAACATTCATCTCCAATGAAAAGAGAACAAGTTCCTAATTTAGCAGCCTAATTACCAGTGGAAGTTTTAAGCAGACTGAATTCTACAACATTTATGAAGATTTCAGCTGTCATGTAATGGGATGTAGTTTTTTTTACAGTTGTACAAAAATAGGTTAGTGTCAGGTGTCTGTAAGAATTTTGTTTTCTGGCTTGTTGTGCCTCTCTTTGTGCTTGTTTACAAAGTACCTTGAACTCCATCTGTGATCAAGTCCTCTCTCCAGAAAATCTCTGGTAACAATGGCTGTAAATTCAGTTTACCCTTTTGCTGTGTTGGTCAATGTTGCTCTGTAGACTCAGGAGCCCTGTGGCTGTTGCTGCCACGTTGAGCTGCAGGGCTAAAATCCTGTCAGATGGATTTAAGAGCATTACATTCAAGCCCAGCCAGACTAAGGCTGTTTCTTTGGAGTAGCTTATGTCTTCCAGTGAATTCATGTAATACTTTGTAGGAAAACAATGGCTTCCACCTGTCATTCCCCATGGTTTGATTATGGATCTTGATTGCAGTCTTCATTAATTCTCTTTAAAATAAGATTTATTATAATGTAGAGGGTCAGTGATGAGAGAAAGGTAGGTAACCACGAGTTGTAATAAAAGTTTTAAGGAATACATTCATCACAGATAATCTTCACTCGAAGTGGGAACATCAAACAGCATCTTACTGCCAGGGCTTGAAAAAAGAAATTTTATAGTTTGTAAACACTGAAAAGGAATTAAAATAGGTTAAGATCTTACAGTGAAGCAAGGCCCAGCTCGGACTGGAGTCCTGGTCTCCAGAACGCTGGCCCTGGGCAGCTGCTCTTGGGACAAGTGGTGCTCACTTGGCAGCCTGGTTGCTCCTGGCTGTGGAGAAAAACCCTCTTTCTGTGTTGGCAACTTGGCATCAGTACTGAATTAAGAAAAAACTCTTGAGATCAAATCTAAGGGATTTGTTTTACACACACTTAACTACAATCACTGTACGTACTTACTGATTCATGCTCTTTCCAGAGAAACTCTTTGAGTAAAATTTCAAGCTTTTTGGAATTATTTGATGAAGAAACCTTTCCTCTCATCAGTGTTCTCCTTGTCTTGCTCCAGCAGGCTGGGGAGAGATGCCTGCTGTCCACACCAAGAGCGAAGCTTCCTGGGGAGAGCCCTCCTCCCCTTCTGCTGCAGTTGATAATGGCACTTCAGCCTGGGGGAAGCCCCCCAGCAGTGGCACGGGCTGGGGAGAGAATCCTGCCGAGCCAGCAGGGACCTATGGAAGAACAAACGCTCCAGCTGCTGCCCCAGCACTGTGCAAACCAGGTACACCAGGGCTGCCACTGTGCTGCCAGGGGAGGGGCTTTGCTTCTGCCTCTTCTGCTTTTCCACAGGTGGCCTTCGTGAGTTCATTCTCAAAACTGTCACAAGGCCACATTAATCCCAACAACCAGTTAACGCAAAAATATGAATATAGTGGGAATTTAAAGAAGAGTAGTTTTGTGTGTTTGAAAAGCAGCATAGCAGAGGTGCAGAAAACTGTGAAACTGCAGAAGAACGTGACTAGGAGTTAAACCCTTGGTATGTAAAGGAAACCTGTATTTGGATGAGAAACAGCAGAGAACAGTCAAGATAGAATTGATTCTGGTAGGAAAAGCAACACCTGAGAACCAATAAGCATAACAACCTCATGTTGGGTTAAACTGAGTGGGTGGGTGTTTTCTTCAGCCATGAAAATTGTTGCCAGGTTCAGGAACATTCTGAACTACTTCCTGCTTCGTGATTCCTAACTCGTGGTATTTAATAAATATCCTCCATCTCTGAATGTCCTGAGGGCCACTGTGATTGCTTTAGACTCTCCTCTTGGCTGTGGAGGTTGCCTAGAGATTCACTCCTGCAAAATACCAGAGTGAGATGTAGTTAGAAGTCCCAGAAAATATAAAAGGGGGAGTGAGAGCTCTTAAGATGAGTAATCCTTGCTTCAAATAGAGCTAACAGAATAAAACAGACTGAGGTGACACAACCTCATCACTGAATATGAAGCGTTCCCTGCAGCCCACGAGCTCCTTTCAGATTCCATTCTTCAAGATGGGAATGAGTGTCTGCGCATTAATGACTTAGAAATTTTGTTTGTTCATGGAAGAATGTGGTAGGTAAAGCACTTAACAAATGTGTGCTTACACTTTGGTTCCTTGTTCCTAGGAGAGTGGATTGGCCATGACCACAGATCTTAATGGTTCTGGGAAAAGCAGGACTTGGAAGTTGCTGGATGTTTTCTTCTCTGAGTATTTAGAGAACTTCCCTTTCTTTTTGCTAGCTTCAAAGAAGACATTCTTACAATTTTAATGCCAATTAAACTATTGATGAACCTCTTTATCTCTTGAAAATACGTTAGCACACTGGATATGGCACAGAAAACTATTTCTGTAAAATTTGCAGGAAACTGAATAAGATTTTTCTTCTCCCACTTTCCCTCCAGCTTCAAAATCTATGCAAGAAGGCTGGGGCAGTGGTGGGGATGAAGTGAATCTCAGTACTAGTCAGTGGGAAGATGAAGAAGGAGATATGTGGAATAATACTGCTTCACAAGAGAGCAGCTCCTCCTGTAATTCCTGGGGGAATGCCCCGAAGAAAGGACTTCAAAAGGTAAGACAAAAATAAAGACACTCTCCAGCAAGAGTGGAATTAGCATAACATTGGTAGAATAAGTTGTCACAAATTTGCTGGTGCATTACACCTGCAATTAAACTTCTGACACCTGAACACAAGCACAGCTTGCCACTACAGTGGTTCAAGTACAGCCTACCTTATTGCCAGGGGAAAATGGGAAATCTTTGAATTTAGGCATGTCAGAAGCTTTGGGAGTTTTGTTGTTGCTTTTGTTTTCTCTAAATTTTATAAACTTCCATGTATTCTAAAGAAATTACAATGTATTAACAGAAAGAGAAGAAGGTGTTATGGGGGCTTTCACACACTTCCTATGGTGGTGGAAAAACAAACAGTAGTTTGTGATGGAGTTGTTTAACACAAAAAGCTGTTTTTTGTTGATGAGGACGGTGTGTGTGTGTGTGTGAGAACAAAGCGAACTTGTGTTAATGCTGCACTCAACCAAGAACCTAGGCAATTGTGTGAGGAAATTTTCCATTGCACAGCCTTTATTTCAGGACAAGGCCAGGCTGTAACTTAAAGGAATTGGGAATGCATTTAGCCACTTTGTTTGTTAATCCATTAGCCAACAGTTAGGCCGGTGATTTGATCAAGTATGGTTGTTTCTTGTACTGTCCGCAGCCCAAAACAAATCCGCGCTTGTCCCTTGGTACTTTCTGGAGAACTGAAAGGAAGAGACTTCTTAAGGATTTTGTGATAGAAAAGCTGCACAGAGATCTTTTAAAGGTGTTTATCTAGACGCTCTTGTTTGTTTTTAAGAAAATACACTGAGTAACATTCTTAACTTCAAGGTTGCAAACTTGTTTTTGGGAATGTTTTTCAGGAAGTGTTGTACTATTTCAGCTTTATTTCGTTATAATTTTTCTGCCAAGGATTAAAATGAAATACGTAAATTCAAAAGTGGCTTTAATTCAGTGGCCAGCAAATCAAATACTAAATAGTACACTGAACACCTATTCAGCTGAGATAAATTTTTACACTTTTGGGGGAAGAGAATCGTAGTCGCGTTGCTCGGAGGGTTCTTCAATACTTTCTGAATTAATGTACTAATACATCTTTCAGTAGCATGTGCTATTAATAAAAACCACTTACCATTTCTTTTATGTACATCTCACTGTGATGAACGTGGCAACCAGCCCATTAATGGAATCTCCCATTTATTTACTAAGGGCATGAAGACATCTAGCAAGCAGGATGAGGCCTGGATCATGAACCGTCTGATAAAACAGCTCACAGACATGGGCTTCCCTGTGAGTAGTGCTCAGCCAGCACACTGTGCCTTAGCTTTTCACTTGTAATTCTGACTCTGGCTGTTTCAGACTGTAGCTACACCAGGATCTTCAGTCTCCAGGCCAGGAAGTAGCTCTGACCTGCATTTAAACATATACAGTGATTTCAGAAATCTGCTCTAAACCTGTAGAATGCTCTGAGATGAACTGGGATAATATTTTGACATTCATAGTTTTATAACAACAGGTATTACTTTGAACTGCGGTAATAATCCCCTCCCATTCCTTTTTATTTTTCATTAAACAGGTGAAGTGAGAGTATAACTGAGTTGTTTCTTAGAGAAAGTCTTATCATTGTGATATTTGAGTTGTTAATGGAAAACAGGAAGATGTTTAAACAGAACAATGTGTTTCACCTTGTAGAGCCAGTACTTCCTTGACAAACTGAAATACCTGAATTTTGGGAATTGCTGAAAGCAGAAAAAAACACACAAAGAGATTACTTAGGCTGCTGAGTAAACATTAAACCCAGTATTTAAGAGATGTGTCTGTTTTCTCAGGTTACTTTGAAATCACATGAATGTGATTACTTTTCCTCTTAACACAATTCCCGTTTTTGACAGAGAGAGCCAGCGGAAGAGGCCTTGAAGAGCAACAGTATGAATCTTGATCAGGCCATGAGTAAGTATCTGTGTAAGTAACTTTTTTGTCTTTAAAGCAACACAGGAACCCTGCATGATTATAACCATTTGATTATAGTCAGACCAATGGGATAATATTTATTTTCTTGCCTTGCTTTTGTAAGCAAGATGAATTTCTCTGAAGTGCTGTCGGCAGCTTTACTCCCTCTGCCTCACCTTTTGCAATATATTCCCCTTTTCTGTGCAGGTGCTCTGCTGGAAAAGAAGGTGGAAATGGACAAGCGTGGAATGGGAGTGACCGATTATAATGGAATGGTCACCAAACCCCTTGGCTGCCGCCCACCACCAATCTCCAAAGAGTCTTCCATGGACCGCCCCACCTTCCTTGACAAGGTAATTTCAGCATGGTGCACAAGTCAGAGTGTGCACAGTGTAGAAATGCTGATGATTTTCACTGTCTGCTTAGAAAGCGTAGAAAGAAATGTGATGGAGATGGCTTTGTTCCTTTTTTGTGTTTTTTCAGTCTTGTGGGGAATTCAGTCTTTGTGGAAAGGATCAATGATTTGATTCCCACATAGAAATAAAGAATGATCATTCCCAGTTTTACACTTGAAAGCTTTCTAAGGAATCAGTAATGCAGTGGAACTAGAAATGGAAAAAAAAAAGAGAAAAAAAAATTAACCACAGCAATCTGTGAGAGTGCAGTCAGTGACCCTTGCCCAAATTCACAATCAGGCAGGACCAAGGCCAAAATCTTCCAATAATTAGGCTCTTAATTTCTCTTCTTTTAGTTTTGAGCTTCTAAGAAATTTCAATGAAAGTTCAGTACCTAAATACAAAGGAGGAGTTCAGGTATTTTTGTTAAGTCTCAGAGCAGACATGCACAGTCACAAATAGCTTCTCCAATGAGCTTCCCTTTCTGTGATCACGTATGACAAATCTTCCAGCATTGTTTAATGACTGAGGAAAAGGCTCCAGAAGTTTGTGATCCAGGATTCAACGTGACTAAAGAAAAGAATATATGGAAAAGTGCAGCCAAATCTTCAGTAGGAAATTAGATTTACAGCCTTGACAGAAAATCCTGCAAAAACTTTTTAAATCACCTAAGAATCCCCCTGAAAATTATTGATAAGAAGAATCTCCGATGTCATTCTGTATTTCACAGGGTATTTAAAGGTTCATACAGATGGGTGGTGAAGGATTCTGACCACAGAAATCAGTGCTTTTGACAAATTGTGCTGAAACCAATTATTTCACATGAGCTGTGTACAAGTTGAGAGGCAGTAATGATATCCACTCATATAAAGCTCATTCTTTGCCATGGCAGACTTTAAAGAATGTGTTAATTGAAGGCCACAAAAGATGCATGCATGCCAGTTAGCCTTTCCTTTTATTGGATAACAATATCTTCAGCAGTAAAATTCTTGCCAGAGAGAGAGGTGCATTATGTGCAGCATGTTGCATAATTCTGGAAACATATGTTAAACACAACTATTGAGATGGGAGTACTAAAATCATTAATATTCATACAGTAAGTAAAATCTATCAGTCTAGGCATAATCTGTCACAGTGACTTGGCTCTAACAAAGGAAATAATCCCACACTGTATTTGTTAGCTATCACAGTGTTGAGCAACTTGCTAAGTGAATTAAATAAATATAGTTTTTACTCTAAGAACACAGAGTTTTTATCCCTCCAAAGAAATTCTTTCCAGATTTACAGCTCATGCTAGTTGAGCAATTCTTCCAAAACCTTTTTGCCCTTTGAGGTACTGTTTCAGGGCATGAGTCTGGAGCTGTCTTGCTTCTGCTTAGGTGATCCTCTCCAGCCAGCATTCCTTGTTTTACTTACTGCTTTATGAAGTCATCATCCTTTTGTTGGCTTTGCTGAGTCTTCCCTAAGTTCTGCAAAGTTCCTCTTCATGAAGTTGTAGTTTGAGGTGGTGTGCTCATTGTTACCACACTCTCAGCTCACCTGCATTGAGACACCATCATTTTTCTCTAAACAGCTAAAGCCAGCACTTAATATTTTTTTAACTTTATACATTTGAGGAGGAAAAATTTCCAACCCTGACATTTGCCTCTGGACCCACTGAACTCCCTGCTCTCTCTGCATCAGGAGTGGTCTGTGCAATTCAACATCACCTCTGAGTGTTTGCTTTTTCTGCTTGCTGCAGGTGCTCTTTATTCCATGTCACACTGAGTCAATCTTCAGCAGCACTCGGTGCTTTGTTAATTTATTATTTCTCAGGATGTTATCTTGACCTGTAGCACCATAAAAGGACAGGGGTGAATATCCAGTGGCCTTGAGGGAATAAAAATGCAGCCCTGATAAGTGATCTCAACCATATTATGTCACACTTGGTGGCAGGCGTGCTGTGCTTAGGTGTCAGGTTTTCTTGAAGATGTTACCTGGTGCCTTCTGGAGCCATCAGATCTGTAAGAAAAACAGATTTTCTTGGAAACATCCTTAAAATACCAATAATAAGCCTAGAGAAGGGATCTTTTATTCAAGTATAGAGTTTGGCTTGGGACACTGAAATCCTCACCTTGCAAATGAAGTGTCCTTCCTCCTACCCTCACAGTCAGTGATCAGCTCCTCTTCTCTACTACTGCAAAATCCAGGTCTACAAGCCTTGATGCCTCTTAGCTGCAATCCTGTTCTTCCAAAAATCTTCTGACTAGACCTTTTCCTTGTTTCTGATTTGAGCTTAGTGTTTATTGTCTGTTTTCAGCCTCATCCTGAGCCCAGTAATCTCTGGGGACTGTGATTGGTTTTCATCTCTGGAACAACAAGGAGGATATTGTATTAATATGGAGAAACTTTCTTTAGATGTCACAAATAAATAATGATCACTAGGATTTTAAAGTTATCTTTTAAATTCTTTTCTCCTTCTCTGCCACCTGTGATCCAGTGACTGAAACCATTTTCATCACTCCTTGTATGATGAGCATTTCTTTTAAGTATTGCATTTCCTCCAGGTTTCTTTTGCCTAATTTGATTTGAAGATAACATTTTTTAGATGAGATCTTATTACTTTAACTTCCTCTTCTAGGAAAGGATTTTTTTTTTCAATCTTATTTTTTAAGAAGTCAATCTGTATTTTCTGCCAGCTACTTCTGTAACTGATTTTGTCTTTATACAAAGAATCTGGCAGATTTATCAGCCTCTCATCTGCCTGTTGAGACATTTTGATTCATGAAGTGGCAGTTGTTGGCAGGTGACTGCCAAAGTGTCCAGGCATCCTCTGCTAAACTGTTCATATCTCATAAGACTAAAAACCTTTGAGTAATTCCATTTGCATTCTGTCACATTTGATATGTGAGACTATTGTGAGAGACTTCCCAAAATCCTAAAAAACACCAGTGTGGTGCTTAGTGTTAGATAGCTGTAGTAGAAAACAGTGCTTCCAGTAGGATTTCATGGGTGTGTCAAGTCCCTTCAAAAAAGTCAAAAGCAGTTCTGGATTCAGCATTAATGTGATGATACAATTTTTAATTGAGTAGCCTGAGGAAGAAGTGTAACATAAGTTTGTAAGAAAATAACTGAAGAGGAAAGGTTAGATAGAAAAGATTGTTCTTCAGGAAACAATGATTACATAAAAGATCCTGAGAAATAATGGGTCAGAAACCACTGTGAGCAGTAAAATTGTCCTCTAGTCTGACTTGAAAATGGCTAAAGGGTGCTTTAATTTGACCAGCTAAAATACTTCATGTTAAATGAATTGATTTTAGTTCAGTTATAGAGCACAGATTAATGCAGTACAGTGCAACAAGTTCAAATTAAATAAAATACAACCAGGTGAACATGAATAAAATGTCATAAGCTTACACAAAGCCATTTGCTGTAATTCAGCCAAGGAACACACTTGTGAAGGAGTCTGGAAATTAAATGCCTTAGTCTCCAGTGTGGCTTGTCCTTCACCATCCTTGGCACTGCCTATTTCCAAATTGAGAAAAAATAATGTCAGTAAGGCAAGACTTGAATAAATTTGGGGGCAGGGAGGGTCTTTCATGGTCAGTAGGTCTGTTCACATAGGGAACAATGGCATCTGAAGGGGAGAACGAGCACCGAGCTTGAAATTATTTTCACTTTGAAGGGGGAAGGGTAGAATTGTAAACATGTGTCTGTGATCTAAAGAGAAATCCTTGAACCTGTTACTGTCATGCAAGCTGCAGTTGTTTGTGGAGTGTGACTGATGTCCAGTAGAATGTAAAATATCTGAAGCTGAAAGGCCTTGGGGATATCATTAGAAAATGTCAGTGTCCCCCGGAGGATAGTCAGATAGGATGTCAAGTGTCACTTTGCCTGATAGTAAAGAAACTTTTCCTTTGCATCAAAGGAGAGCTGTAGAAAATGCATTTTTCAGGATTAACTTAAAACTTATAATTCACTGAGCATGCTTGCTGCATTAGCTCATCTGTTTGGGTATGTGGCAAGCAGACTGGGCTTCTTTTTCAACAAAGGAGGTTCACCAGTATCTCAGAGTCTTTTGGGGTATTGAATTTATTGGTTTAAATAACCTAGCTCCTCATAGCTTTAAAAAAACCTTTCCTTACAATGATCATACCGCCTGAAAAACACCAACCCAGCACATTACAAATTAAAGCTTTTTCTCTCTGCCTGTTTTTTTTGGAGCCCTACTTTGTACACAGTGTTATTTGATCATGCTTTACCACAGGCTTCCCAGACATCAAAGCACAGTTTGAGATAGAACTCAGTGCCACACTGAAACACAGCAGAGATCTACCTGTTTGATTGGAGGTTCTCTAATTTATTTTATTTTCTGCCTTGCTGTTTGCATCCCCGTGGGGGCTGCCTCCTGTGCATCAGATCCACACTCAGCTGTGGTTCCTCACAGCCCAGTTAGCAGAGAGGGCTCCTCCTGCCTTGCTAAAATCTGCCTCCTCCTGGGGATGTTCAGGAAGGCTGCCCAGCTGATATTGTCATTACTGGCCGTGATGGTTTGTGTTCATTGGCTGCCTTCAGTGTAATGTTTCAGAGCGGGGTATTAATAACTCAGCGCTATGTGAATATTAAAAGAGGCTTGTGTGTCTCTGTTAGGAAGGGGGATTAATGCAAAAAATGGTTTTTTTAAGAGCAGAGCTATGATGTGGAACCAAATCCAGACTGGGTTCAAATAAGCTGATGTGGCCTTTCCCAAGTTTTGGGTTTGTTAAAGTGCTGGTTTATGTTTGTGCTCTGCTGCTGGAGTTTTCCAGACAGACACAGGAGCTTCCCTGAAATGTGCTGGGCCTGTCCCCTTCCACCTTTCAGTCTGGGTGAGAAGAAAGGAGAAAACCTAAGTGGGGAGGAGGCAAGGGCCACATGATAGCTCTGCAGTCAGCTGCTAAAATCCTTCCTTTCCTCTGGAAAGATGGGTGAGGGTGATTGTGCATTTGGGGATTAACTACAACAACGCTACCAAAAACAGTACCTTAATCCTTTTTCTCTCTTTCTTCTCCCTTCACTCCATGCTTTCCATTCCCTGTTATTCATCCCTTTTTTTATATATGTTTTTTACTCATCCACACCCCTCCGTGTCTCCATGGGTCTGTGGTGTGGCCGTGGGCTCCTGGCACCGCACACAGCTCACCCTTTCTTTCTCCAATCAGGATGGCGGCCTAGTGGAAGAGCCCACTACTTCACCATTTTTGCCTTCACCAAGCCTGAAGCTCCCCCTTTCAAACAGTGCACTCCCTAATCAGACCCTGGGCGGGATTGCCTCAGGGCTGGGCATGCAAAACTTGAATTCTTCTAGACAGGTAAGGCTGTTGGGGGAGATCCCGAGGGGAATTTGGCTCTCTTGGAGTAGCTGCTAGTGCCTGTCAGCCTCTTCCCCAGGAAAAGGTGGTTTAAACTGCAAGTGCAACAGCTTTGTTCATGTGAAATATCAGACAAGGAGCTACCTACTGTGTAAACATTTCACCTAACAGGACATAAAAGAACTGTGTAGTTGTAATTATCCTGCTGATGACACATATCCATCCAGAAGAAACTGTAGTGTTGTGGATTTATACCCCTGAACCCTGGTGTGGCTCTCATTAATGAGAAATCTCTTTTTCTTGAGGCACTGCTAATTGTTCCAGACTGTAAAGCAGGGAGATTGCTCCAATTCATCTTTCATGAATGGTGTAATTACTCTGTGATGAGATGGGGGAGATGTGATGGGGGCTGTTTTATTCCTGCCCCAAGTGTCAAGGCATCTCAGAGTTTTAACAGGTGGCAAGAAAGAAACTGGGCTTTCAGCACCTGGGACAGGCAGAGCATCCCATTAAGGGGGTGTTCTGGCCCCTGTGTAGAACAGGCTGACAGGGAAAGTAAAGGAGAGGAGATGAAGGGGGTTGGTAATTGATAAGCCACCATGAGAGTGAGAAGCCATTAAGTACTGTTGATTATGACAAAGTTATTTTTGCCATCAAACTGAAGTCCTAGCAAAGATATGAAATAACAACACAGAAAAACTTCATCATTCTGTTGTGGCTCTTTATTATGTATATTCTTTTAAAGTCAGTTTTCTTAAGGCAATACTTGTCCAGCACTTACAGCCCATTAAGCACATTTTTCCAAAGCAGTCTCCACTAATAGCATGTCCATTATCGGTGGCTTTGTAAAATGCCTAAGTAAAAAAACTGCTTAGCCAGCTGGAGGATGGGGTTACTGTGAGTTTAATGCCTCCATTCTCCTGTCCCTTGCTATGCAAATGCCAACATTTTTGGCAAGTACTTTTGATTGCTCATCTTGTGACCCTCTAGGGTTCTGCATCTTTATAAAAGCCATCTTCAACTTCAGCTGCCTTTTGTCCAGGCAACTGTACAAAGTTTTGGAGGCTTAGGATGTTGGGTACATGGCAATCTTTGCCCTGCCCAATTCTAAACTTTGTATGTGCTGGTCTCTTGATTCGTACCTGTCATAATCACTAAGAATAAAGCCTGCAGAGACAAGTAACACGCAGGTGATGTGCTGAGGGTGTCACTAAGTGCCTGTGTCACTTGTCCTGCTGCAGATACCGAGTGGCAATCTGGGTATGTTTGGCAATAGCGGAGCAGCACAAGCCAGGACCATGCAACAGCCGCAGCAACCGCCAGTGCAACCTCTTAATTCATCCCAGCCTAGTCTTCGTGCTCAAGTGCCTCAGTTTCTATCCCCTCAGGTCAGACAACACCTCACTGCTGTGTTTTCCCTTTCCCTGGAACTCTTCCCATGTGCTCTGTCGTGCTCCTGAGGCTCTGCAGCCACTGCTGCCTGGCTGTGTCTGTGTTATTTGTTTCCTAGGCAGGAAGATGTGGCACGGCTGAGGTGTTCTCACATGCATATCATATAATTACCTCTGAGAACACTTTCTCCTGCTCCTTTTTGCACAATGGTGTTTCTGGGGTGTTTGTTCTCATCTCTTTTTTATCAATGGACACTTGAGTACGGTTATTATGATTTTATTAGAGCCTCTTCCTAATTTTTTTGATAGTTCATTATATTACTTCTGGTGATAACAACATTTTCCAGCTGATGTGACTCTTACTAATGGCTCACACAGTTACCACTGTTAAATCTACAGTGCTTAACACTCTTCTCTTCTTTAGGTTCAAGCACAGCTTTTGCAGTTTGCAGCAAAAAACATTGGTCTCAGCCCTGCACAGTTAACCTCGCCAATTAATAATCCTCAGCATATGACGATGTTGAACCAGCTCTATCAGCTGCAGCTGGTGAGTTAAAAGACGTGCCAGATAAGCTCTAAATCAGAATTGAAGGCATGAAGATAAAATAAGAGACTGACTAAATTTTTAAATGACACGACAGATTTTCAAAACAATCAGCTGCTGATTTCTTTGGTAAAGTTTCTTTTTCAAGAAACACAGTCTTTTTTTTTTTTCTGCCTCAGGCTTTATAAATAATCATTTGTGGAATAATTATCCTTTACAGCTGATCAGTGGAACTAAAAATCAGCTGTCTTCATACTGGTGTGAATAACACAGTGTGTTCTCAAGCAGCACTGGCCTGTGTGTTACATGTCAGTAGAAAGATTAAACTGGACACATGTGTCACAACAGAAACAGAAATCTTGGCAGTGCTGGTCACCTGAGTTACCTCCAGAACTTCTTTATTTGCCTCACTGAAAAATAAAGTGTAGGGTGAATTTCCTGTAATTAATGGAGTGTATATTAAACACGCCATGTGATAAGAACTGCTTTCTTCTGTGTACTTTTGCTGTGCTTGCAAATTTTACATCTGTATTTTTAATACATATGAAAATAGTTGAATTTTAAGAGTATTTTAAAAAGAGATACTGTGAACTCAATATTGGCTAGGGTTAAACATAAAATTACAGATGGCAGATTAGTTCAGTTACTGATCTCAGTGTTCTAGTCAAACTCTTTTATTCAGGGTTTGATACTATTACTCATTTCTGATTATTTTCTCTAGCTTTGAGGAGCACAACATTATTCTCAAAATAATTGAACAGTACCCAGCTACTTGAAAAATACCTGTACAGAATTCCTTTGGATTTTGAATTCATCAAAATGTTGATGAGTTCATCAAAGTGTTTCAGAGAAACTTACCTTGCAAAAGAATTTGCTGCCGAGCCAGCTACTTGAAAAATGCAGATTTTTTTTTCAGGAATAAAGCAGCACAAGTGATTTAACTAGAAAGTGTTGGCAGAACTCAAAATGGCCAAATCAGAAATAACAATTGGTATTTATACTATTTGTATGATATCATAAACTTCAATTTTAATTTTTGCATTATGTTACAGTTATTTCAGAAGAAAAGTAGGTTCCTATTTTTAATGAACACTTTTTGCCATGTGCACTTATTAGTTGTTTCTTTTTAAAAAATGAACATGGGACTTAAATAAATGCACTATAAAATGCATTTGCAGCAGGATTATTACTGTTGCTTCGTGGAGTGTTTTCAGACCGCTGCAGTGCTGGCTTTTTCTGTGCTGTGGTGCAGCAGAGCAGTCGAAGGCAGCGTGTTGAGCTTGCTGTGTGTGCTGTGTCTGACTGTCCCTGTCCCCACAGGCGTACCAACGTTTACAAATCCAGCAGCAGATGTTACAGGCTCAGCGTAACGTTTCCGGACCCATGAGACAACAGGAGCAGCAAGTAGGTGTCCCTGCCAGCTCAATCTCTGCTTTAGGGTTTGCTTTCAGTAGCTTGGAGAGGCTCAGTGACATTGCAGCAAAGCAGCTAAAGCATCCTTAAATCAGGAATGCAATGCGTGGCTTGAGGTCTGGACAGGGAAGGTGCTGAGTAAAAATAAAATAAAAAATAAAGCTGATCCACAGCCTTGCTGGAGGAAAGCTCTTCAGCCAGTTTGTACCTGTAAGGGGGTGCAGTGTGTTGTTTCAGTGTGAGAAAGGCAGAGAAATGCAGTGTGTTCCTGTGCATTGAGCACTGACAGGTGTTTGTTGGCTCTCTCCCTGCAGGTTGCACGTACAATCAATAACATGCAGCAGCAGATCCAGCAGCACCAGCGCCAGCTGGCCCAGGCCCTGCTCATGAAGCAGCAGCCTCCCCCTCCACATCTATCTTTGCACCCCTCTGCAGGCAAATCAGCCATGGATAGCTTTTCACCCCATCCCCAGGCTCCCGGCCTTCCTGACCTGCAGACCAAAGAGCAACAGTCTTCACCGAACACCTTTGCTCCTTACCCTCTTGGTGAGTGTCCTCCACACAGGGACTCCATCTCCTTCATTCACACCTCAAGATTTTGCTCCACAGTGTAACAAACACAGATATTTATATATCTCTGTTATGGTTTGATGCTGGCATAATGCCAGCGCTTCTATGAAAATGTGATTTTTTTAAATGAATGTTGTGAAATGTAATTGAGAGGAAAGTAGGCTTAAGTTTAATAATAGGAAAAAAAACTTTATTAAGCTACTATTATAAAAGAAAAAAGAAAGGAAAAAAAATTATATAAAGATTAAAATGAAAAAACTTTGTAAAGTATTCTTCTTTTTACTACTTAATAAACTACAGTGAGACACAATTTGGACTCTAATTAGGTTTTTATTTTTTCGATAATTGATATTTAGTTTATTGAGGGAGACAGAGTTTCTTTTGTGCCACAGACCCCTTAGGAAATACAGCTGCCACATCCTGTGCTTCTGTGTTACACATGGCGCTGGGAATTCTGCTTTTAATCCTTCTGTGTTCTCAGAGACGTGTCCACTTTTAATTGGTCAATATCTAAATTGACTTCTTCCTTCTGGAAAAATTTTTTTTCCGTGTCAAACCATGACACTCTCTAATCTCTCTCTCTCTCTCTCTATATATATATATAGATATAGATATATAGATATTGAGGGAGAAAAATATATATAATTATAATATTTTATATCTATACATTTGTTTGTTTATATATTAAATAGCACTGAAATCACAGAACAAAATCATGCCCATGTACCTACTCTCCTGTATTCTGCCTACAAATATCAGAACAAATTTGCCTAATTAACTGCTTATGTATGTTGTTGTTTATGAACTAAATATAAACAGCGTCATGTTATAAAATTCACAAATGTGATACTGATAAACAGGAGTATCGTCTGGTAAAAGCTGTGCAAAGTCATCTTTCTGCTGTAATCAGCACTGGTGAGACATCAGTTTTGGGCAATGTATTTCAAGAAATGTGTGGATCAGTTTGAAGGAATGCAGAAAGATTGTAGTGGAGGTGATTAAACGTTTCAAAAACACAACTGGTAAGCAAGAAGTGAATTCTTGTGCTCAGTAGTCTAAGGAGAAGATTTAAGAGACATGCAAGAATCTTCAAAAATGTAAAGGAGAGCTAGGAAGACTTTTTTTGCATTTCCTAATGCAAGAGGTAATAGACTTAAGTTTATTAAAAGATCTAGTTAGACATTAAGGATCACCTGGCTTAATCAGGGTACTGGAATAAATTACCTAGGAAGTTCCTGAAATCCTCACCAGCATTTTGTGGTAGGTGAGACATAGATCTGTTAAATATAATTGAGGTCAAAATAATTGATTAGGCCTGGATACAGAATGAACAGAGCAACTTTTCAGACCTGTTTGCTGTGTGATCATTTGATGTATGCTACAGACTTCCTTTCTGACATAAAGGAATTAATTTAATCTCTTTGTGACTCTCTTTATGCTGAATACAATAGTATTGCCAAGCTTTATCTGCCATGCAGCAGTTAAGAAGGTAATTCTGACTGCTGTGGTGAGCTGTTGTGGCTGGGAGCATTAGAATGCAAAAAAACTTGTGAATTAAAGGCCTAAGTCTGAGAGGTTCTTATGATATCTCAGCTTTCTGTGATCTGCTAACATTCAGGATTATATATCAAGAAATACCCAGATTCATGTCACAGAAGCATTTCAAAATTATTCCCTTAATAACAGTCTGAGGGATTCTGTTCTGTGTATACAAAATAGAAGCCCAGTTAGTGCATAAGCTGCTCTCATAAACAGCAGCTGTTTGTCTGACCTTTAATTGGTTCCTTTTTTAGGGGGATTTTTAGCAAAACAAAGTGGCAGACATCGTTGTGGGGTGCTGGGAAGACATTAGGAATATTTTGGCTTAGCCATAGAATGGTGCAAAGTGGTTTAAACTCAACATTCCAGTGCATTCTTCTGAGACAAGTGAGGAGACTGCAAGCAGAAACACTGACAGCTTTAAAATATTATCCCTACTTCTTGTTTTCCCCACTTTTTAGCAAGGTTTTAACTTTTTCTGAATTTATGGGAGTTTTATTGGTGTTCCGTAAAAGCAAAAGTTCTTGAAAATGTGCATTGAGTAATTCCTGTGGCTGGATTTCAAACCCAGCTTTTCTTTCCCTCAGTATATGATGGATATCTAAGAATCTCTTTCCCCCCCAGCTGGACTGAACCCGAACATGAATGTAAATAACATGGACATTACTGGTGGTTTGTCAGTGAAGGACACTTCTCAGTCCCAGTCTCGCCTTCCTCAGTGGACACACCCCAACTCAATGGATAATCTGTCTAGTGCTGCTTCTTCTCTTGACCAGAACTCCAGCAAGCACGGTAATGTCCCCTGGCACTCCCTGCCTGCCTGGCTTTTGGTGATTCCAGCCACAGTGCAATTGGAATTATTTCTCTTTTGTTCCTTTCTTGTGTAAGTGCTCACAAATGGTTGGTACCGAGCACCTCTGAGCCCGTGAGATTTTATAGGTGATTTCTGCAATGAAGGGCTTGCAGCTGTCAATCCCTGCATGCAGTATAGGAATGTTTTTCTCATGTGTTGAATTTTGTTGCTGAGAACATGGAGTTCAAGTAAAACAAGCCTTTAGTGTTGGCAAAACAAGTCCCACAATCTTCCCCTTATTCCCGACCTGCATACCTTCAATCCAAAAAAACTTTACATTGGCTTTCTCTCACAATTTTTCCAGTATCATCAACCTCTCCCTGTACAAAGGTATGATGGATTACATAGTTATTCAGTCTAGAGTTGGGGGCAAAAACTTCGTACTTTTCCAGAAGTGATTGCTAATCTGTTTGAACACCCTTATCCCTAATGCCTCCAGTATCCTGAACCAGTTATTCCTTTATTTCCTGTATCAAATTTATTCTGTTAGAACATGGGGCTCTGTTAACTTTATTATATCCTGGATTTTATTCTGAGCAGCATGAATTACTTCTTTTTAGCAGCAGTTTTTTATTCTGCAAGTAGCTGCACTACTGATGCCAAATTGTTGTTTGATAGTTTGTAATAACATGAGAACAGCCATTTCAAATCATCCATGCTGTCAGCACTGAATGCCTGGGGCAGGTTGAGATGAGGGATATTCCTTGGTATGCTGTCTCAGCAAGTTCCTATTTACCAACAGTGTGATGATTTGAATTACTCAGTCTCTTTTTGGCAGAAATTTAATGCAGAATTCTTTAACTTGAGTGTCTAGATTGTACCAGCAATGTGTCTTTCAGCTGTAATCCCCGAGATGCCATTAAGCTTGGCTTACTGTGTTTGCATTTTAGATTTCTTTTTATCTCTGTAATACAGAAAGAAAAAAAAAAAGGCAAATAATAACAAAATACATCCTGCTGATATTCCAAACCCCCAATTCCCATTTCACTGCTTGCAGGTGCTATCCCTGGAGGTTTGAGTATTGGTCCTCCGGGAAAGTCCTCCCTCGATGACTCCTACGGCCGCTATGATCTGATCCAGAACAGCGAGTCTCCTGCCAGCCCGCCCGTAGCTGTTCCTCACAGCTGGTCACGTGCCAAATCCGATACTGATAAGATTTCCAATGGCTCCAGCATCAACTGGCCACCAGGTAACTCGGTGCAAAGCTGCTCTTGGGCTGGTGTCCCTCAAACACCTCGTTGAGTCCTTCCGATGCGCAGCGGCTTTGGAGAGTTACAGCCTCAAACACTTCCCTCTTTGTTGTGTTGGAAACAGAGTTTCACCCAGGAGTGCCATGGAAAGGACTGCAGAATATTGATCCTGAAAATGACCCCGATGTTACTCCTGGCAGTGTTCCAACTGGGCCCACCATAAACACCACAATACAGGATGTGAATCGCTATCTGCTCAAGAGTGGAGGTAAACACACAAACTGCTTCCACATCTGTGCACACTCTCTTTTCTCTTCCAAAAAATGATTGACCTCATTTGTTACAGATATACTTTTTGCATGTGCTCCTAATCTAATAATGTTTCTGCTCAGGACTGTCACTGAATATCCAGAAAGAATTGTTTTAAAAGAAGGGATTAAGAAGTATCTTGTTTTCCATGGGAATGTAAATACTTTTATATTGGAAAAGGCTGTAAGATGTAATTTAAACTTCTTTAGTCACTGGAAGTTTTTCTGACCTGTATCACAAAGTTTTGAAAAATATTTTGCTCTGCACACTGCCCACCCTCCTCCATACACTTTGTGAAATTTTCAGAAGACTGAATACAAATGTTCCACAGTTGTTGCTGACACAGCAGGCTTCTGGCACACTAATTGATTGTAGCTTTGTTAGAAGATCAATAAGCAAAATAAATTAGCACTGCTTTATCTCCAAAACCATAACAGAAAAAAATTGGGAATTGACTAGTAAACTAGTATTTCCCAATGCTCTTTCCATTCCTTTTGTCCTGGCAGTGCTTACTTCAGAATACAAAGGGAATTCTATAAAACAAGAAAGCATTTTGACTATGCTGTTTGTTGGCTACATGTGCTGGAAGTTGATCGAGGGAAAGGTGGCTTGGTTAATTGTGATCTGAGTGCCAGAATAGCCAAGTTATCTGCACTCTGCCAGAGCACTTCAGTTGGCACAGGAATAGCATAACCAGGCTGTCCAGAAGGACCTGTCAGGAGTGAAAATGTGGGGTTTGTTTTAACAGTTACATCTGTGGTACCAGCACAGATTGTAAATCAGGGCTATCCTTGAAATGGGGGTCCAGCTCTGGGATTGTTACCTCAGGTAAGGGCTGTGAAACGTGAGGGAAAGGAATCCAGAGTGCTGATTGCCTGCAGTGATTTTAGTTCTCTCTTAGCAAGAAAAAGCCTTTCTTTCAGCTGAAACGTGAAGGATTTGGGTAATGAGTAAGGTTGAATTAACTTCTAATGACTCCAAAGTGCTTCCAAGGGGATGGGCAGGTTTGAAGTTGTAAAAAGAAAAGCTGTAAGATGTAATTCAGTGACACTTCAGATACAGTGCACCCAAGAAATACTCCTCAGGCCAGAAGCCTAAACCTGTAAAATCAGATGATATCCACTACAGGCCTTGCTGCTTTAGAGAAGGAAATTAGCTCTGTTGGTGCATAATCTGCCTGTGGAATGAAGAAATCACTCCTCTCCTTAGAGAGGGTCAGCAGAGATGGTCTTAGCCTAAGTAAAGAGCCCCTCAAGCGGTCAGACCTTCTGAAAAGCAGTGCCTGTGAGGGTCAGTGTGTGCTTCTTTTCCTCAGTAGCTTTTTAGCTTGGTAATAACAGAACTTTAATAAAAACTATAGTTGCAGAATCTGTTCTTTATGCATGTATAACTGCAGTCTGAAGCACAGAGCTTGTGCTGACAGACAGAGCTGCTCCCCAGGTAGAGGGTCAGGCTGTGGGGTGTGCTGTCCTTGCCCTGTGCACTTAAAAGCAAGTAAAACTTAAGCTTTAGGGGCGATTTTTGCTTTCCCTGTTCACTAAGGAAATTTTGGAGCTTCTATGAGCTGAGAGTTGTAGCCACAAGGAATCGGGACCATCTTCAGCTCTGTGGGCCTTTGAATCTGCTGTAATTCCATAGTTCCTGCCTAGGAAATAGATTGTTTCCAGACAGAGCCTGATAGAGGGTTCTGTTGCTTGAAACTGATGTCAGCATCAGTGTCCCTTGCAGCACAGGGAGTCTGGTTAAGGTGAAGTTTGGTTGGCTGCTGTTCCAATTGAAAACAAAGCCCATGTTTGTTACTGAGCTGTGAGGGATGAGATTATCCTTTTACTTTCTCCCTTCTACCTCAACACAGTGCTCTTTGCTACAGAGCTCACCTGTTTTTATTAGTCAGGTAAAGATGTTTCAGTATCACATCCCATCTCTGTGTGTCAGGAATGATAAGTCACCCAGGATGCACACTTAATTTTGTTGGTGGCTAGAGAGAGTATTTCCAGCTCTCCTGGTCGTTGCAATGAAGATTTTTGATTTTATGTTCAGTTTCCTTCATTTGCTGCAAGTAAGGAAATTGTACGTGTGCTTAGATAGCTGCTCAGATTGTAAATGATTTACTGAGGTGGTTTTGTGCTATTTCATTTATGTTATCAGTTTGAGAAGAGATTGCTGAAATATATCCTTGCTTTTGCTGAAACTCTGCAAAAATTTAAAGATACTTGTGGGCATTAGGATGTAGGGGAAGTGTTTACCTTGAGTAATTTAGGACAGATCACCTGTGGTAAGAGGTTAATTTATCATACACATCTCTGCTCATCTACAGTTGCCATTGCCTAAGTCAGCTGGCAGAGAACCTTTGTAAATGAAGCCTGTTCCTCTGAGACTAAACACTTTAACACTGACTTTTAAAGTCATGTATCTTAAAGGAAATGCAGAATTTACCTTCTGCACTACAATTGTTCCTGTGCCAGCTTTCTTCTCTTTCCTCCTAAAGCCTTCTGCCTCACTTTATCACTCTCCCAGCAACATTTCATTCCTGGACTTCAGAGACCAGGCTAATTAAGGAGAATGCCTTGCATGGTTTGTATTTGCACGTAACAGATTTGCTTATGTCACACCAAACATCATTATGCCCATCTTTCTTAGTTGCTTCTCTGCTGGTTCTGCAGGGTCATCCCCAACATCATCTCAGAATGCCACGCTGCCTTCATCGAGTGCCTGGCCGCTTAGTGCCTCCGGCTACAGTAGCTCTTTCAGCAGCATTGCATCTGCACCTAGCATTGCAGGTACGGCCTTTCTGCTTCCACAGCTTCTGCATTCCCAGGAAAAGGCCCTAGGAGTGTTCTCCCAGTGCTCACAGGAGTGCTGTCCCAGGCAGAAGTGGGTTTGGAGCCCTGTGCTAGGTGGCAGCTCTGCGGTGGGGAGTGGTGGATGGTGAGCCTGGGATTGTGCTGAGGAAAAAATGGATTTATTCCACTTGGTGTCACTCAGTGCTGGCATCGAAATCTTTGGGGGATGAGCACTGGCCAGGGCCTCAGCAAGAACAGACCTTTCCAGGAAGAGCTGATGTGAAATTTGTGTGAAAATACTCACTGTTAAAAGTGAAACACCTTCAGCTCAGAAAAAGCTTCAGTAGGGCCTCCAAGGGGTACTTTTTGCATGGCTCTGGGGCTTGGGTTTGGGGCTCTTCAGTGCCTTTTAGTAGTCAAGCCAAAGCCTGCTGCTCCCCTATATGGCTGAGCTTGTGGGTGAGCTAAATAATTACCCCATTTTCTTTACTGAGCTCTAAATTCTGGAGCTTCTTTTTGCAAAACAAGGGAACTTTTCTTGCAAAGTAGTTGCCTAAATATGCAGTTTGCCCCATTATAAAATTGTGTTGGGCTGTATAGATGGATTAGATAAGAAAATGCTGACCCACTTCTCTGAAGTTGCAGCCTCTGGTAAGGCTGCAGGATGCAAAACAAAAAGGATTTGCTTGAGATGTTTTCCTCCAGTGAAAGGAAAAGAAGGGAGTGGCCTGCTTTTCTTTATCTGCCATACATTTCTGCTTTATTTGCTGCCTTTTTTTGTTGTTGTTTTTGCAGTGTCATCTAATGTTTGTGTTACCCCCATGAGAAGTAGTGACATAGCAACACCTGGCCTGTGGTGCTGTGCCTGTATTGGGTGCCCCATCACAGGCTGGGCTGCTCTGAGCTCTCTAACTCAGACTTCCTCCTCTCTTCTCACCATTTTACACTCATTAATATTGTCATTGTCAAATTATTTTTGTTGCTACAGTTTGCCAGGAGATGGGAGAGTGGTTGCCCATTCACTTAAATTGCTATGATTCAATATGAAATAATTGAGTTAAACGATTTAGATAAATGGAGGCAATTTGGGGAATGTGTGTGTATGTAACTGAGTCTGGGATTTTGCAACTGGTAAATTTGGCTTTGGGACTCATAAAATTTCTCAGTGCCTGCCTGATGTCTTAAAGCACTGCTCCAGTATATACTTAAATCTGCCAGTTCTAGTTTTTTTAAAAATTCACAAGATCTTTGCATCTTGCACTTTATCAGACCAAATATTTTCTTATTCTCTGCAATCAGCATTAAAACATTAAGGCAGCACAGTCACAGCATCATTTGCTGGGGCAGAAGATGCAGGATTGTGTCCCTGTGAGTCCATTCCAGCTGCCAGTGTTGGTAACAGCAGGACTGTGCTGTGACAGGGAAATTGGGCTCTAATTGCACAGCACGTGTTGGTATCAGGAGGAAAGGCTAAAGGTGAATGAAGATCTGTTTTGTTATCCATTATTTAATAATTCAGCCCACTGAATGCTGTAATATGTCTGCTGTGCTTGGGTTTGTGTTGTTTTTTAAAACTTTGAATTGGCTGGAACAGCAGTAAGAGTTTGAGAACTGATCAGGGAAAGAACAAGCAACAGCAGAAAGTTATAAAGAGTGAAGGGTTGTGATGTGGTCTGATCTTCTGAAGACTTAGTTTTTCTCAAAGATACTTGGAAAAAAGAATATAGGTTACTTCAGATATTCAGAAATAAATTTTTTGTTGGTCTTTGATCTTTAGAATTTTAATAATGCATCAGAAGAACATATGGATATACTGAATTCTTTATATTAGGTAAAATGAGTTGTGCAAGAAAAAGTGTTTAAGTCCTGTTAAACCTTTGAGAGAGACAATCTTGAAGTGTTTCATTATAATTTTGGTGAAATCAGATTTCAAATACCAACATCCATTTTCTGGACTTTTTTCCATGTATCATCTTTTACAAGAAAAGAAAACAATAGATTTTCAAAAGGGAACTTGTATGTCGCAGGTAGTGTGAGGTTCACTAAACACAAGAGTACTGATGGTTTAAGTAGGTTGAAAATAAGTAGGTTATAGCAGTGTATGGTACAGAAAGTTGTTCTTTTCCTCCTGAGAAGCTGGGAGGATGTCACCCATGATGCCCATTAGTGAGGAACACCCAAATGTGCTGTTTTTCTGTTGCAGGTAAACTGTCAGACATCAAGTCCACGTGGTCCTCTGGCCCAATCTCTCACACCCAAGCCTCTCTGTCCCACGAACTCTGGAAGGTACCCAGAAACACTACAGCTCCGACCAGACCTCCTCCAGGCCTAACCAACACCAAGCCATCCTCCACGTGGGGTGCCAGTCCCCTGGGCTGGACCAGCTCTTACTCCTCTGGTACTCACAGCTCTCTTCTGCTTTCTTTTCAGCACTGTTTGCTTCTACTCTGCCTGTGAGGCTCCAGAAACCAGAGCTTTAACACAGCTGGAGTGGTTCTGTGCTGGGGGTGCAACCCCTTTAGTATGTTTTAATTTCACTTTGAATAGGTTGTAAATGAAGCATCTTTCAGCTGGTCATGGTAGTGATTTTACATAGAAATTGCCCAATTTCTTTAACTCCCAACTAGGATTTTTTTTCCCCAGTTCCTTAATTTCTAAAACTGTCTTTCAAACATGTGTCCTGTTCTGTGGTGTGATCTAAGACTCCGAAAGGAGCTAATGGAATTTAATATGGAACACGTGGAGGTGAAGCATTTAGGACATGATGGCATTTGTAGGGCCCTCAGGGAATGCCTGAATTTTTTCATGCAGGTCCCTTTTTTCATTTGTCTTTGTTTGCTTTAATACAAATATGAGAAGCCATGGATCTGGCTACATATATATATATATATATTTAGATATCTCTATTGATATAAATATATATGTGCAGATATTAGTCCTTTTTTACAAAGATATTTTAATAATCTGCTTACACTAAGTTGAGAATTAAATGTTCTCCCCTCTTCCTGCCATTTATTTTGAATGTTTCTTCACCAAACCCCCACCTGGAAGGGCAGATAAAGCTGCTCCCAGGATTCTCTCTGGAGCACTCACAGGATGCACTCTGATTCTCAAATGCCACTCATAAATGTCAAGCTTGTACAGCTTCTTACCACCAGGCTGAGGTTGTTAGGGCAGGTTTTGTTGGTTATGTCCTTGTATCTTGAATCAGGACACTGCCAGTGCAGAAATACCTGTTTTGAATAAGTCATACACATTAATCTGTCATTGACAAGAGAGCAGAGTGCTGCAGTGCTATAAAAATCTTTATTAGCAGGCAGCAATCTGAGCTTGGACATCAGAACTGCTTTTAAAATGTGTCTTCCAGATTAATTCTGATGCATCCTGAGGATCCAGTTTGTTGCAGTGCCATACCTGCATCTCTTGGTTCCCTAATAGTTACCGTGGGAGTATGAAAAATGCCACAGATCTTTGAAATGTAACAAGAGCAGCTTTTCATTCAGCAGCCTTCCCTTCCAAGGGAGGCAGTAAATCAAGATGTGAGGAAGCTGCTGTAGGATTTGTTTTCAGCAGCACTGAGGCTTGTTAGTGTGTTGTGATTCCAGATAAATTTGCCTGTAAGGCAGTCTCCAGAGACTGATCAAATGTTTTGCTGTGGAATTTGTGTTGCAGGTTCTGCATGGAGTACTGACAGCTCAGGGAGAACAAGCAGCTGGCTGGTTCTTCGGAACCTCACCCCCCAGGTAACTGCAGTTGTACAAAACTGGGCAGGAAAACACTCTTGAATTCAAGAGATGATGAGAACAACATTCAGCAGCCTTGGCCATTTGTTTCATTTGAAAGAAGAATAAGTATCCTGCATTATCACAAGTACCTGTCTTCTACAGGGAATTTGTTAAGTTTTTAAAGTGCTGTCAAATCAAGTATGAACTTTCAAGCCTGTAATTAGTCATTGAATGGGCACCATTTCTTTGTGTGTAAGTTTGGAGGTGAATGATGTTGTAAAGCACAGACAGAGATGTAAAATCTGATTTTCCTATGGGTTTTTTGGGTTCTTCTCTTATGTCTGTCACGTCCTCTACTTGTCCTCTACGGTGTCATTCCAAAGGAGGAGCATAAGCCACAAAGCCATGGATGCAGACATCCAAATTAATCTTGGGGAAAATTTAATTACATTCATGAAGTGTGTTTTCCCTTTGACTTATTTCTGGATTTCTATTGATTTCTAATAATAAATATAATTTGTATAACCTAAATGGATAAAATTTGTGCTCTGGACTATAGGGAATTCTTAAAAAGACAGGATATCTCCCTCAATGAAGACAGCAATAAGTGTGTCATTCAGTACTTCATTTTTCCTTTCACTTGTACTCACTCTTTAGCTTTTAAGCAGTTGTTAATGAAGCATTTAAGGGAAGGTGACAACAGCACAGGTAACCTTTGCTGCCCTTGCCTCCTCCCAGATCGATGGCTCCACACTGCGGACCCTGTGTTTGCAGCACGGCCCTCTCATCACATTCCACTTGAACCTGACCCAAGGGAATGCTGTGGTCCGATACAGTTCCAAGGAGGAAGCAGCCAAGGCCCAGAAGTCTCTGCACATGTATGTTCCTGCTCCCTTTTCTTTTGTTACAAAGCCAGTTCTAGCGCAGAAAATATTTTCTTATGCATAACTGATCAATAGTTACTTTAATCTTGATTTTCAAGATTACCTAATGAGAGAGGAAAAAGTTAACTGGGGGTAGATATTGAACAAGAGGGCATTAGAAAACTTTACTCAGCAGAAATAATATCCTCAGTTAAGACTTGTCACCTGTAAGGCCACAAAGAAGTTGTAGGACTTGATAAGGATTCCAAAGGAAGTTCAGGGAGAGCACAGGACAAGGTTTTAGCTTTAGAGAGAAACATAGAGAGTAAAGCAATGCTAAATAAGGAATATGTTCAGGGTGGTCACCTTTTTTTTCAAAAGGAGTTATGAGAGAAGTGTATGACAACAAAATCTGCTTCTTAGGAGCTTTAAAATCAGTGGGACTAATTGGCATAAGGGCATAAGTGGTAAAATCAGTGCCATTGGGCAGGATGAAGAATACAGAGAGTGATGCTTCAAGAGAATTACTTGGGTATTTAGAGTTGGAAAGCAATTCCCTTTATCAACAGGTTGTAGCATGAGCATAATGAAAGTACTGAGGCGGTGGGAGCATCATTTGGCTGGAGAGCTTCTGTCCTTATTCCTGAAGAGAACTGAGGCTCCAGGACATGTCAGTTAGAGCAGGTGGTCTCCACATGTGTGGATTTGGATGTTTGTGGATGTAGAAAGGTGGATAGAAAACAGGATAGAGCAGGCTTGGTTGAAGAGACAGGGATTGCTCGAAGTGAGCGGATGTGGTGGGAATTTTCACCTTGATTGCAGCTTGGGGGAAGGTGGATCTCTGTCACAGAATTGCTTAAGTTGGGAGGGATGCTGAAGCTCATCCAGTGCCACCCCTGCCATGGGCAGGACACCTTCCACTGTCCCAGGCTGCTCCAAACCCCGTCCAGCCTGTCCTTGGACACTTCCAGGGATCCAGGGGCAGCCACAGCTGCTCTGGGCACCTGTGCCAAGGCCTCCCCACCCTCCCAGGAAAGAATATTTTATCTAACCCTGCTCTGTGTCAGGCTGAAGCCATTCCCCTTGTCCATAGTCTCTCTCCACATTCTCTGGAGGCTCCTTCAGGCACTGGAATGCTGTGGTTGGGTCAGGCTGGCCAATCCCAATTCCTTTAGCCTTCCCCACCAGAGCAGCCACCAAAACCCCCACTTTACACCCCACACCTGACACGTTGCTCGTGCCCTCAGGTGCGTGCTGGGCAACACCACCATCCTGGCGGAGTTTGCTGGTGAGGAAGAAGTGAACCGTTTCCTGGCGCAGGGGCAGGCGCTGCCGCCCACCTCCAGCTGGCAGTCCAACACTGGATCCACCCCGAGCCGCCTGGGCTCCTCGGGCAGCTCCCACGGGCTGGTGCGCCCCGACGCCGGCCACTGGAACCCCCCGTGCCTGGGGGGCAAGGGCAGCAGCGACCTGCTGTGGGGAGGGGTGCCCCAATACTCCAGCAGCCTTTGGGGACCCCCCAGCGCCGACGACGGCAGAGTCATCGGGAGCCCCACGCCCCTCAACACCCTCCTGCCGGGGGATCTGCTCAGCGGGGAGTCCATCTAGGAGACACAACGGAAGTAACAATCATCAGCACTAAAGGATAACGAAAAAAAATTAAAAAAAAAAAAATAAAATCATAAAAAATTAAAAAAAAAAAAAAAATATGGTAACCCTTTCCAGTCCCGGGCTTGATGAAGAATCCAGCTTTAACCCATGAGACTGGCAGCCCTCCTTAGTACCTCTGTCCAATATTGAATCGGAAACTGCAGAAGTCCTTGTGAACTGTTCCTGAAACAGTATGGGCTCCTTTGGTCAGTGTCACATGCTAATGACAGGTTTTACTTTTTTCATGGCTTTTTTTTTTGTTTGTTTGTTTTGTGTCGTCTTTTTATGTTTGTATTGTGATTTTTCAAAACCAAGTATAAAAGCTGCTTAGAAATAGGTCTATCATGAAGGGCACTTTTCAGAATTTGGGCTGGAAAGGGTTATTTTATCAACTGTGGGGGGTGGGAAGGGGAAATGAAAGCCTATTTAAATGAGCCTGTGACTATTATGCACATTACAGAGGCGGACCCAATAATCAGAAAGGGTGAAGTGTGATATTTTACCATTGGTACAGAAAAGTGACGATTCCGAGTGGCAACTCTGGACTGTACAGGTTGAGAGGGGGGGAGGGAGGGCAGGGTTGGGGTATCTCTGTGTCCACTACTCCCATGGATCTGCCTATGCACATTACCCTTGTTTCATTACTTTTTCATGTCATTTTTTTAATCCCAAAAAATATAAAAAGTAAAAAAAAAAAAAAAAAAAAAAAAAAAAAAAAAAAAATACTTAAAAAAAAAAAAGCAACAAACCATATCAACATGCAAATACTTGAATCCAGCAGGCCAATAACAAAATGTGAACACTTTCTAAGTTGAATTATTACACTTCCAGGTCAGCATCAGTACACAAAAAACAGGCTCTAAGAATTTTGTCTTTTAGAAGTTCAGACTCTATGTTTATGTTGGGACAGATGTGAGTGTGAGTGTGTGTGTGTGTGTGTGTGTGTGTGTGTGTGTGCGTGCGTGTGCCCACGTGTGGTTTAATTCAATGTGTGAAGTTTTTTCCTTTGGTTCAGTATATGCTTTTTATTTGCTCATTGGTCAAATGTTTAATTGTTATTAGCTTCTAACTTTGCACTGAGTGTCCGCAGCCCTTCTTGTAGCTAATCCTGTAATGGTAAAAACACACAAAAAACAAAAAAACTTAAAAAAAAAAAAAAGGAAAAAAAAAAAAAGGAACGGAACTGATAGAAGGGGCCGGCGACAATTCATGTGTAAATGTTTACTCAAGGACTCTTATTGCATTTTAAAAATTACAGTGTGTATCTCTGGAGAATAATATGTATATCTACCTTTAGCGGCTTTTTATTGTGGACTAATGCAAGAAAATTATTACCGGAGTATTGCACCATTTTTCCATTCGGAATATAAAGTTTAAAAAAAAAATACTCTTGTTGAACTGTGGCCATAGATAATTGTAAAGAGTTGATAGTTCCCTTGCAAGCAGGAACAGAAACAAGCACTTGGACATAAGTTTTGACTGCTTTTGGAGGAGCCAGGAGTTTTGGCTCCCACCTGTTTACAGACCTTTTTTTCTCCTTCAAACTTTAAAATAAAAAAAGGAATTTAAAAAAAAAAAAAAAAAAAACCTACAAAAACAAACAGCAAACCTCAAACAGAGCTGCAATGAGATGCCTGCTGGTTTCACAGAGACATGTAAGACAACACGGGTGCATCCTTTGCCCCTGAGGGCCAACAACCCCAGGAGAAGATAACCACGGGCCAGCTGGATTCTTTCTGCCAGGAAGCAGGATTCCAACCAGGATAAAAGTATTGAGGGACAAAACTAGGGGTTGTCATAGAGTTTGCTACAACAGAGAGTGCTGATAGCCCCCCTCACCTCTCCCCTCCTGAAATCTCAAATACACAGAAATGCACATTTCTTGTGAAAACACATTTATGTAAAAAAAAAAAAAAATAAGCTGGCTTGAGCCTGGTATTTTCACGCAGTAAAATCCAAATATTTTCTCTCTACTTTAAATGTCTTCCTCACTCCTGCTACAGAGGAGGTGCTTGATTGAATTGTCGACAAAGGCACAGTCCTCCAGCCCAGGCCCCATCCCTGCTTCATGTTTGCTTCTTCAGAGGGCACGAGCCAGAGACAAGAGAGCACAAAGAGACAAAGAACATCTTGAGAAGAAAAATACCCGGGACAATTCTCATTCCCACCTCCCTCCACCTTGGCTGCAGCCTCCTCTTCCTCAGACATGCTCCAGCACCGAGTGCTGAGCACCTC